TGTGCCTGCCTCCCTCCCGGCCCTGCAGGCCCCGCCTGGCGCCCTTGGGGTCCAGTTAGTGGAGGCGCTAGGACATCCGCAGAAGGTCCTTCTTGCTATTAAGGCAGGGGCTTAGGCATGAGCGTCCGTGCGCCTGTCCCTGGGGAAGTGGCGAGGTGTCACCTGAAGGGTCTCTAGAGCCAGGCACTAAGGACCTGCAGCGGAAACTGCTGCCTGGAGAGTAGGAGCCGAGCCCCTGACGGAGCTGTGCCCACCTGCTCTCTGGAGGGGGCGCCGGCTATGCCGCCCGAGGGCAGGTGGTTCTCAGGGCTCTCACCCTGTCGTTCCGCGCAGAGCCCTCCCTCACCCCGCCCTCCGAGCCCCGTTGTCCAGGCCGAGGGCTGCCCCAGGCAGGAGGCGGCCGTCACCCTCATCCAGTCGGTCTTCCGGGCACACCTGGCCCGCGTCAGGCACAGGTAAGCTGCCTGGCAGGCCCGCTCCCTATCCTCCGCACAGGTGCGCCCAGGCGCAGGGCGAGCCGGGACCACGGCGTCACCAGAGCAAAAGTTGCACCTTGTGAAACTTGCTCCCGTGCCGTGCAGGTGGGTGGGCCACCGTCCTGGTTGGACGGGGAGGGTCAGGTAGGAGAGTGAGACCGTGTGGCTGGCAGAGCCCAGTTGGTGGACTGGCTGCCCCGTGTCCTAGCGCATCCCCCTTTCTGAGGGACCACGGGGCCGTCCTGGGCTCGGGCCTCCTGCAGCCACACCGTCCTGAAGAAGTAGTGCCACTGCTGGTCACACTGCCCCTTAGGCAGGACTCCCGGCTGCAAGCACTCAGCCCTCTGAGCGAACTCAGCCCACGGGTGGGGTCCAGGGTGGGTCCGCAGTGAGCTCAGCTGGCGTCCAGCACCACAGTGCCTGCTGCCTGGGAAGCACAGGCCCCTCCCGGTCCCGCGGACGCTGCTCCCTCGCCCCCCACACACCTCCGCTTCTCAGCCTGCGTGGCAGACGGCGGCCCCGTGTTGTTAGGTCTACAGCTTCGCTCTGCAGAAGGGCAGCCGAGTCACAACAGCACGGTCCGGGGGGCCGCCATACGACCGTGCGGGTCCTCCCTGGGCACTCAGCCAGGCCGGCAGGTGGATGGCGGCCTCACCACCGAGACAGCAGGGAGGGGTGTCTGAGGCCCGGCCTCAGCGAGCATGCGGGAG